TTTTTTTTTTTTTAATCTTCTGTAGTATTTTTCGCTGTGTTGAATGTCAGGGACAGTGTTTGGCTCGTATTTTACTTCCTTACTTTATTTATATTTTTGGGAAAATAACCTTTAGTTGAAAGTAGAAAGTAGTATAGACCAGGAAGTTGTTTCAGCTCGTGCGCGTTCCTGAGCGCTGCTGCTGCAGCAGAAGCGCTCGAGCGGTTTTTATCTTTCTGCTGCAGGAAACCGAAGACTTTTTTTAAAATCGTGAATTAATGTCACAAAAAATCATTTTCAGTAACTTCAGCAGCCTGTCCGGTTCGTAAACACGACTTTCAGAGTTTGCCTGCCGAAAACTAAAATTAATTTAGTTATGAGGTTGTAATATTTACTAAATAAACATTTTTTGTTGCCTGAACACTAACATTTAAACCATTTTTTTGTTTTGCAATGCATAATTTACATGTTTAATGCATATAACTCATATCTAATAACATGTCACGAAGCTTCAACAGGTGAAATGGGGGGAAACTTTGCAGACAGAAATTCCTCCATGATTATATTCTGCTAAATTTAGTTTGCCATTATTTTAAAAGCCTCCAGGGCTGGCTTTAGAGAAACATCTCTACAGCATGATGCAGCCACCGCCATGCTTCACAGTGGGGACAGTGAGGGTGATGTGCAGTATTGGTTTTCAGCAAACACAACTTCTTGTCTGATGGTCKTGTCACCACACTCCTCCAGTTGACAACAAAGTCCTCCACATACTAACAGGCAAACTTTAGTGAAGATTTAATGAATATTCTTCAGTAGCAGCTTTCTCTCTGACACTTGTGAATAAACCAGGGAACTGTTGTATCACAGTCTCACCTGCTGAAGCTCATAAACTCTTCAGAGGTCACAGGTGTCATGGTGGCCTCTCTGTGCTTCTTCTTTATGAATATAAATTAGTCTCAAAATAGTCACAAAAGCATAAAAGGTTTTCAAATGTCAAACTTCACAGTTAGAAACAGACTACTCTACAGCTTGTCAAATGCTCGTGCACAAATCGCCTGCTGCAGATGGACCAGTCAACACAGTCATGTGACTTTTGACACCCAGTTGTTCTAGCTTTTTACCTCCTCTTGAACCCAACATTGTTAATCTGGGGCTGAAAGAAAGTCTCAACACTGATTTATTTTTGGTCCATATCTATTTTTCATTTAACAAAACAGAACAATAACTGCTTAACCTAAATAAAAGTCTATTTAACGACCCTTAGAGGAATTTGTTCATTTAAAAATCATAAGCAGAAGCTGTGATTGACAACAGTAAGCTGCAGCTGTTGCATCATCATTTTCCTACTTTGTAATTAAGTATGGACAGGCAAGGTTGATTCGAATTTTTTTAAATAAATGGCCAGCATCAGCTCATAAATTAGTCTTTCTCTGCTCAGATGTTATTGTAATAGTTCATTATCTATTTCTACTTACAATTAATCTTTGCAAACAAAACCGTTTTGAATGATTAATATAAAAGGGCAATATCCACAGTGCTTAATTAATCAACAATTATATTTAAAATARTTATTTTTATTGTTTTATGGGCTTATTTTTATTTTCATTGTTAAATAATTTTCTGAACTAATTCATTTGTTCTGATTGTGCCAGACAAAGCTACAGACCCAGATAATCAGGAGGACAGATGGGACTGCATTCAGGGCTTTTATCAGCTGGTCAACCAGGAAACAGATGGGTGAGTTGAGTGTACTTTTTATTTGATTTGAAACACTTGCATCATCTTGCAGCAATATCCTCTCAGGCAATATTTCAAGTTGCACAGACRGGACACGTGCTTCTGACCGCTACATCCATCGAACGGAGGCTTTCAGGGAAGAGTTGCTTCACAAGTTGAAAACGCTCTGCAGCTTGCTGAGATGGTGCAACTAACGAAGAGCGAGGATCGACTCTGTTGCACTTTTTGTTGCTCTCAGTGTGAATGGGGTGTAAAACTGAAAGATACAGCTGCCATGTAGGACTTTAACACTGACAGATATCTTAATTTAAAAGAACTCTCCAAGAGACTTTCCATCCCCCATTTATACCCTTTCACTCAATGACCTAAAAGGTTTCTGGACTTGATATTAGATTTTAAAAAATGTAAACTTTAAATCTCATAATTAAAGTGGATGGAAAATTAGGTGCATTTTATTAATTGCATATTAAGACAAATTACAAACAAGCTCCAACATAATAGAGGACAAGGATTTATGTTACAGACCAGGTGAAGTGTTCTGCTGTGCACTTCAAGGCCTTTTAATGCCTTCCAGACATGGTTATAATAATTTTGGATTTTTTTTTTTATTATAGTTTAGTTTTATTTTGTTGCGACTTTTTTTAACTCAGTTGGTTTTAATTAGTTTTTACAGTGGATTTGATAGCTTTGTATTAGTTATTATTGCATTTTAAATGCTTAATTTTAGTTTAGTTTTTATTAGTTCTAGTATTTTATTTTATTTTATTTTTTAGTTTTAATAAACATATTTGCCAATGCCATCCTCCAGCTTGTGATGTTCCTGTGAGTTAACTAACCAACAGCAATTCGGTCACTTTAAAGCAGACATTATAGCGACACCTTCCTAAAATAATTGTGTAATTCAATTTTGCCAACTAAAAACTTGAGCAATTAATTAGGACGATGACAATAGTTGTCTCCAAACCAGTGCTACCTGTTTCTTGTTTTTCAGAGATCTACATGTCTCAAAATAAATCGGCAAACACTAAAACTAAGGATATTCTGTCTATAATTTCAGTTAGTTTTAATTAGTTTTGTAAAAACAAAACTATACAGTTTTAGTTAGTTATCGTTTTTTCATTTTATTACAGTTTTTAGCTATTTCAGTTAACTAAAATGTTTTTTTTCAATTTCAGTTTTCATTATTTAGTTAGTTTTAATTAACTATATAACTATGCTTGCAGACAGATTTATTTTTATGAGGGGGGGCCATGTGGGGGCCACTGAAAAGTCCTGGAGTGGCACCCCAAACCCTAAAGTCCAGAACAGAATTTCAGGAGATTTGTTGTTGTCGTCATACTGCAGGTTATTTAACAAACACAGCAACATGAGACTTARGGAATCACCTTCTGATTTATAAACAGTTGATATTACTTACTGAGAAAAGCACCATCTCTGCTCAACATTTTAAAGCTTCTCTTCTCCTAAATTTATGTTTATAAAAATATTTTGTGTATAACTTTGTAAGACCTGCATTTTAATATTGAGGACATTAGTCTTGTGTTGTCCTTATTCAGGAGGACTAGATTTTAAAGTTTTATTAGAAATTTTAAATAAAATGTATTTTTATATTTTGAACTATTTAATGCCCCAAAAATAATGTTTGTTTTCTGTTTATGAGGTTCTGCTAATTGTAAATAGGATGGGGAAATTAAAAATGCACACCAAGAAAAAGCTTTGAAGTCCAGAGGATAAAACTGTGGCACTTAGGGGCGTCCACCATTAGGGTCCCCACCAGCCCTGTTTCCTGAGGGGTAGTAGTGTGAAAACCTGATGGAAAGGGTGACAGATCTGCAGGTCTTTCTGACCTGCAGATGTCTGAGGGGGGAGCGGGGGGAATCCGGTGATTATTTTGTTCAGTGTTGATTTAAACCCACAGCTTCTGCACAGTTTCCAGATCGTGCAGGGTTGGAGTCTGTCAGTTTTCTCTCTGCTGAGCAGTGATGAAAAGTCTTCATCAGACCAGCAGAGATTTGGTTCTTTGTGAAGAACATCAGTCTTGGGTCCGTCGTTCCTGGAGGACTGCATGTGAGCTGTGTTGCTCTGTAGGATGTAATGAATGTGATTAAATTAAACATTTTTGTGCTTTCAGACCACAGGTGGCCCTTCGTCTGCTTGCACATAAAATCCAGTCTCCACAGGAGAAAGAAGCTCTGCAGGCTCTCACTGTCAGTAACCAGCATCTCCTCACATTTACAGAAACTCTATATTCTTTTCATGTTCTTTTGGAAACTGCTTTTTGCTCATTTTTTGAATTTATAATAATAATTTTTATAAGTTTGAATATGTCAACCTTGCCGCCTCATTCATGTTTTATATCAGTATGTAGACAAACATAATGAAAAGCTCATTCTTTGCATTTATCATAAAACCATGAAACATATGGTTCATTCCCCAGAGAAAGAATGTCTTTGTTTTAGCTCTGAGAGAACGCTGCCATGTGATTAATAACCGTCCCTATAATTAGGCATAAAGCTGCTTTTAAATTGCACAATTTGAAGCTTTTAATCAGTCGTCTGCCATGAAGTGTAACTTAGCTCACGTGCCTCATGTCATGTGACATTCAAGCCTTTTTAACCTCAGAAACAAGCAGTGACCAAATCTGATCCTTCGCTCTTGATTTGCTTTCTTTTTCACTTCCAAAGCGTCTGATGGTAATGTTTGTTTGTTTGGTGCTTTCCAGGTTCTTGAGGCGTGCATGAACAACTGTGGAAAGAGGTTCCACAGCGAAGCCGCCAAGTTTCGCTTTCTGAATGAGCTGATTAAAATCTTAACTCCAAAGGTACTTTTACACACAAATGTTAGTGTTCACTTCACATCAGTTTGCCTTTTCCTTTTGTATAGTCTGTGTACAAACCCACTAAACGCACACTGCAGCAATATGAATCATTGCAATTCAAAAAACTATGTCCAACAACTTATATGGTCCAAAGACTATATTTAAAGCTTATTAACAGCGTGCAGCTTTAACAATTAGTTTTTAAACTAAACGTTTTACCTTTAAATGTGTGACAAACATTAAGGGTTTAGATAAGTAGTTGTGATGCAAAAAGTACAGCTAATTGTCAGGTTTAACATAAAACACTGTGGATATATAGTAAAACAGATTTAAAATTCTCTCAGGGTAAAAACTAGGGAAGATTCAGAATCGATTTATAATGTCCCAAAAATTGATTAAAAAAAAAGGCAAATCCACTGGCTGTCAGCCTCCATTTTGTAACTATGAGATGTCCTAACGTCACCACGCAGCTGGTTCTGGAAGGTATGCATGTGCAGATAGCACCAAAATAAAGAGGAAACTACAAAACTAGAAAAAAGAGAGATTCAACGGGTCTTGTCTTCATTTTAGTTTTTAACAAACGAGTCTGAATTTGACACTGTGTACAAGGTTTGCAAAATGAAGATGAAGCAGTTTAGGAACACGACGAATGAGCTCACATTATCAGTTTTGAATCAAAAATCGATTTTGAATCAAACCGTGGCCCCAAAAATCAGAATCAAATCGAATTGTGAGATAGTAAACGATTCCCACTCATAGTAAAAACACAAAGACAAACCTTATCAC